AGTATGCCTTATGGTGGTGCCGGGCTCATAGCCAAATCTAATTGGCTTTGTGTTTATGTTACTATTGCTAGGATAGAATGGTTATTTTCTTAAAAAAGAAAGTATGGAAGCAGCAGCTGATCATTGTTGCTAGGATCTTATTCTCTCTAGAGCATCACCTGCTAAAATATCCCACCTCTGCGTCTGTGGTGAATGTTGCCAATCTGTGAACGCTTTTGCTCTTGAATAACACCAAAAAATTGCCGGAAGGGACACAAATGTCTTGTGTAGGAGGAAATATTCAAAAAACGTGCCCCGTGGCTGATTTCATTGTTACCCTAGGCACCAACTCAGCATTCAAAAACACTCCTCTTACACAACCTAGGTGGAATTTGTAATTACATTTTCTTCGGAGCTAGGTTTTAATTCCAACACACTTGCCATTTAAATAGGTGATGTTGTACAGCAAATTTCCTTGAATGCTTCTCTTGCCTTTTTTTAAAAGGCCTGTTGTTAAAACACTGTTTTCGCCATTGTCATGATTTTCTATCTTTAACTTTGCTGATACTGAGCAGGCAGCATGCAAGCATCTATAGAGATTCTCTAATGTAGGATAAAATGAAAGAGCAGAAAGAGTTGTGCTTACTTTGGCAGTCTCCCAGGCCATCGGTATTGCCATGCTCAATGTCCTGCTCAAATGCAAGTCTAAACAAAAGAAAGAAACAGGCTGGTGAGAATTACTGCACTCACAGGCCTCAACACACTGAGCCTAGAAGTGAAAGGAAGAAACAGACAAAACCCGCTTATTCTTCTAATACTTGCCCAATGCAAGCAGAAGAGGATTCCTAATGAGACCCCCAAGTATTCCTTCTCACCCTTATCTTTACGTGACAACCAATATAGAACCAGTACTGTTTTGAAACATGGACACATGTCAGGACAGATAGCTTCTGTGCCTAGACATCTGATGTGATCATGCCATGGTATTTAACTGAAACTTAAGGAATATATATTGGCATGAAAGATCCACTGTTCCCCTCCCCCCCCCCAACAACCCCCCCAACAACCTGGAGAATGTCTGGGGCTCATTTCATAGTGTATGAATCTAAAAACACCAAGCAGGAAATGGTTATGCAGAGTGGCAAACACACTGTTAAGCTTATGCGGAAAGGTTTGCTATCTGCCCATGAAAGTCCTCATTGGATATATATCAATCTATTACGAAAAAAATTGGTTTAGGCACCCCTGTTCTGAGTTAGTACATCACCAGCTTCATAAAAATGTGATAAGGAATCTGCAGCTAAGGCATTTTTTTTACTTCTTAACTTAGAATGTGAGGAGGTATGTGCTTGGTAATTTGATATGGTATTGTGCTGTAAGGAAGCCCGTATCATTTAATTAATTAATTAATTGATTCATACTATTAATTGACTTTCTATACCACCCTATACCCAGAGGTCTCGGGGCGCGTTTAGGGCGGTATATAATTCTCAGATTTTCTGAATTGTGCAATACTGCTGTGCCATGAAACCACAATGACTTGGCATCTTAGCACGAGGCAAGTTATCCTAAATGTTACGCGACAAAGAGGTGAAAAGAACACAAAAAATGTTTTCTGGTGGACTCTCCATCTTGCATGTCTATGTAGCTCCAATCCTAGTAAGAAATAAATCTGCCTACAACAGTACCATGGAAGCATAGAGAATAGAAAGAAAACAAATGTTTATTGGCTGCCTGTTGGTTTTCATCAGAACTCTATTCAAAAGCCTATTTGAGCAATACTGTAACTGCAGGTTAAAGTACCTCTCAATGCGAATTATAACTTACGTTGTTCCGGGTAACAGCTGCATGCATGCCCCACTTTCCTTCATCCAGCCACAATACGGGTCCCTAGATGCTATGCAGGCCCTTAATAGAGGAGACAGATACGGAGTTCTTTGCGATCAGTAGCTCAATGTCAATATCAACGAATCAATACTTTTGGGTGTTTGAGAACGGAGTTAGCAGTTGAGAGGACACACGCAAAGAAGTACCTACTTTTTGCACTTGCCGTGACGCTCACACCTTCCGAGGGGAACCCTTATTAAACAGTTAGAGAATGCTACATAGAGGGCACTGCTTTGCTTATCCAGCTGCATCCCTATAATTCTCTTGTCTTCCACCCCATCATAGCTGCACCTGATTTGGAGGGGGAGAGAAAGGCCGTTTGATCAGCTCAATGAAATCAGAAAGACAATTTGTTTACAACAGAAACATTTCTCAGACAGGATTAACTCATGAAAGTAGAAATTTCCAGCTTACAAAAAAAACAAACAGGCACATAAGCAATTTAGGTTCCCCATCTGCTGTCCTGGAGGGGGTTGGATGGTACAGAGGGAGAGGTGTCTGGCTCTGTTGCCATGTACTTCCCAACTTCACCTGTATAACCACAAGCAGAAGCCAGCACTACCAGTATCCCTGCTGGTAGGAGCCAGCAGATGCTCCTGAAACAGGCTATCTAGAAGGCCGGAAGAGAGCTGGGCTGGTTAAGCTTCCACTGGACCACAAGCCGGTCTGGCTACCAGCAACATGCTCAATCTAGGCCTCTCTCCTGTGCCAGTGTGGAACTGGTGTGTCGGAAAAACCACCAGGATTTCCATGGCCTGCCTTCCCTCCTAATCCAGCTGTGCTCTGGAAATAGTAGTAACTCAGCCTCTCCATTAAACCTTGCTACTGCCTGCCAGGAGTTTGGTTTGCTCCCTAAATAATATTATCATTTAAACTAATATCCTAATTTGCGGAGCCTGCTTAAGAGACTGGGAGGTAGGGTGACTCAGCATAGAGTGACAGGGAAGTTATGCTTTTGCCTCCTGGGAAGCACATCTAGCGATGATAAGGCTGTGGAGCACATAGGGAAAACAATCCAACCCCACTCCTCGCTATCTTCCCATATTTCATCCATTGTGTGTGTGTGTGTGTGTGTGTGTGGAGGGGGTGTTGTTTGCCAACTTAAAGGTAAAGGACCCCTGACCATTAGGTCCAGTCGCAGACGACTCTGGGGTTGTGGCTCATCTCGCTTTATTGTCCGAGGGAGCCGGCGTACAGCTCCCGGGTCATGTGGCCAGCATGACTAAGCAGCTTATGGTGAACCAGAGCAGCGCACGGAAACACCGTTTACCTTCCCGCCGGAGCGGTACCTATTTATCTACTTGCATTTTGACGTGCTTTCGAACTGCTAGGTTGGCAGGAGCCGGGACCGAGCAACAGGAGCTCGGGGATTCAAACTGCTGACCTTCTGATCGGCAAGTCCTAGGCTCTGTGGTTTAACCCACAGCGCCACCCGCGTCCCTTTTGCCAACTTACAGAGACACATTTAAGTGTATTTGAGCATTCATAGAGTTACTATGAGTACAGGAGAATCCCTGCATCAAAAGGTTGGAAGGTGACCAGAATGGCAGTGGGAACAGTGGTGACAGGGCCACTGCAGTCATCCCCGTAACTCCCTTACACATTAATTTAACATGCTGCCTGAATGCCTGAAGAGGCCTATAGTTGCAATACCCAAAATAATGTGTTTACTATTTTATGTGTGTGTGTGTGTAGGTATAATTATTTGCTGTGATGTGTTGACCACAGCCATTTTTTAAATGGGGAAATTAAAATTCCTGAAAACAATAACATATATTCCACATTCAATACTAATAAATAAAAAACCCCGTTTCCTTGGCTCCCCACCCCCATTGGGCTGCACTAAGTGTGAGACTAACGATACATACTTTTCAGAATTGTAAATGCTCATCTCCTCCAGGAAAAGACTGTCATTTAAAAAACCACTGTTTCCTGTCCTGACCAAGAACTTCAAAATGATTCCCTTCTCTGATCCAAGGAAAACCACAGTGTGATTCCGATTTGGCCCAGCAGCATTATCCACAGCAATTTTGGTCAGGCGGTATCTGGAACAACATTGCAGTTTTAATTATCCCAATAGGCTGTCATTTGCTTTATCTTTTTTTTTCTTTCTTTCACTTTACAGGTCAGTATTTAGTATTTTTATAAGCAGAGCTTATCTATTCATATGTAAACACAATTTCCCACTTAAAATAGACAGATCCAAATTATTTCCACACAGGACATAATCATGCCTAGGGTGGGCCAATATGGCTAAAACAACAAGGCCACTTTGAAAGCTAGAATTACTCAGCAACTTTGAGGCAAGCACACAGGGAGAGCCATACATTGGGAGTATAGAGATCACAGCATTTCACTGTCTGGTTCTCCATTTAGTTTAGTTCAAATCTGTTACCTAAAGCCATAAGCTATCATAATATAAAACAATTCATTGAGAGCTTTTTGCATAGTTACTGAATTCTGTATCCTATTTTTGTATGTGGTCCTACATCCATGTACAAAACTATCCATTTATTACTGAAACATGTACAACTGAATATTTACAACATACAAACACCATCATACATGTCAACATGTCTGTGAATAAAATTATTGTACAAATATGCCTGTGACACAAAGCTCACAAAACTTCTGATGCATATTCCAGTCCCTAGAAATGTGTTTCTGAAGGTAGCTGACTTGTGTATCCTTCTGGAGAAAAATAACCCCTCACTGTTTCTTCTTATGTTGAGACACGGGATTATTTGGATATGAATAGTTCTCTTTAAACACTTGTGTAAACATTAACGCTTTCCATAACATATCCTGACAGACATCAGCATATCCTGAAAACATCCTAGCAGACAGCTTTCATATCCGGTGAACGTACCTTGCAGCTAAATCAAAAGTATTAAAATGCTGACTCTTAAAAGTAAATGTCTAAGTTGGTGCTTCCTCTCTAACATAGACGGAGGGTAGCCTGGATGGAATTAGTAACAACTTTCCATTCATTTAAGTTCTATGATACCCAGAAGGTCCCAGGATATCGGCTGGATGGACATGAACTTATGACCTTGTTGAAACTGAGCATGTCTGGCCAGAGCCTGGATTGGAGATCTTCTGGAAGATGGATGTATGCTACCCTTGGGTTTAATGATGGCTCAGTTGGTCAGAGCGTGGTGCTGATAACACCAACGTCGTAGGTTCAATCCGTATACGGGATGGCTATATATACCAGAATTGCAGGGGGTTGGACTAGATGATCCTCAGGGTCCCTTCCAACTCTACAGTTTTATGATTTTATAGAAGAAAGGTTAGATATAAATGTAAGATTAAAAAGTAGTTCTGCAGGAACATTCTTGTCTCTGTCCTAACCCATTAGAATGCAACAGTTGCCTTATTGGATTACACCAAAGGTCCATCCAGTCTAGCATTCGGTTTCCAAATATGGCTAGCCTTACTGGAGCCTTTCTGAGTCTGGCTGGCATGTCAGCATCCTAAATAATCTGATTATCTACAGGCATAGTCATTTCCCCATTTCTACCTCTCTCTGTCTCCAGAAGATGTTTATTTTTAAAAGAAAATAAGCATTGCTCTTAGTACAAATATTTGGGGATGCACCTGTAAGCTCTTTCCATTGTCAACACTGTCCAATTATTTATTGTCCTCTATTTCCGGTTTTTAACTAGTTTCCAAAGCACCTCATACATAGATACATGGCTTTAACGTATGGACATTCAAAAGATCAACATCAGTTCATTACCAAATTTGGACAGGCAGACATGAAAGGAAACTGAATGGAATATATTTATCTACCTGACCATCGTCCGCAGAAACCATGGCTTGTTGACAATGGATGGAACAGCTTCATCCATGAGAGAATGTGTTTTGATGAAGTTCAGAGTGTCATCTGGAAATTCATTGGAAGACATGTACTTTTCAAGTGATGTTGAGCCAGCACAAGATCCTGGCCTAAATCAAAAACAGGGTGGGAGGGAATGTGATTATTTATCGCTTTTGTGCAAATATTCTACATAAACTGTTTTCCTAAGCACCTGTTATTAAGTGAGAGTGTGCCAGAGGCTTTGTAGAAACTGAACAATGCATAATGGCACCAACTGAAGCACTCTTAGATTTCCTCTGGGCCCAGTCATTCCACGGTGCGAGAGTAGAATTCAGCACTCAGTTCTGCGTTGTGGGAAAACCTGATTTATGGCCATTAGTGCACATAAATTTCCTAAGCAGATTATGAAGTTTGTAAAATGCAAGTTCACAGTTCATCCATCCACATGGAGCCCAATAAACACATACACAGCTTGGCAAGATTCTGCTCACTCCTTAGGCGTGCTCCAGATTTTCTTTTCCAACACTCTCTTTCTTGGAATTAAGAGCACTTTATTTAATTTGAAAGGGAAATGTTACATTTTTCTGAAACTGTGAAAAAAGCTGCTTAGAAACACAGCTTGAAGGGTGAATCCAGCCAGCATTAGAGTAAACATCCTCTTTGCTATGGCTCCCAAGAACATTTTATTTTTGACAAATATGAAAACCCAAGCCTTTTCAGCATGAGTCTGCAGAGTCCTTTAATAAGACACAGTGTTATCTGTCTTCGATAACTGGAATACAAATGTGCTCAGTTTATTCCTGGAATCTCCCCAGTACTCTCATGGAAACTGGGCCAGAACAGTCATATATTGGCAACAGAAAGATCTACTTCCTTTTGCTGAGTATGCCCTACCCCAACAGTTCCCTTCTGCACAATCCCTTCTTGTCTAATGTAGCTGTGCTTGTCCAGACTTTGAACTCCCAAAGGAGACACTGCAAGTCCACACAGCACAATGATAGACAGACACAGACTGAGCAACTGCAAAGATGGTTCCATTAGCCATTGCTATGAGCCAACTACAAACTTGTATGACAGCATTGTTGCAATTGTGCAAATGGAGCATTATTTGACAGCCACCCCCCCCTCTCTCTGTGTGTGTGCCTTTACACACACACATAAACCATGCCTGTAATTTTGGGTGGAGGAAGTGCATATGCATGAGCAATGTGTAAAGTTTAGTACAGGGGTGGTTAGGGACAAAACTGAAATGAAATGTGAATACCGTTAGAAGTAAAAAGGGGGTGTGGAAAAAGCATTTTCTCAGGAGATCAGGGATTAAAAAATAAATTCTTTTAAACCAACATCTTCCTTTACTTTCACATCCTGTTTCCCTTACCTTGCTATATAAATGGGAAATTTCATTTACTGCGGGGGCTCAGTTTTGTTTAGTCAGAAAGAAAGCAGGCAGAAATGGATCTACCACACCTTGTGAGGGCCCTTATGTCCCTTCCAGAGAGAAGGAACAATCCAGCGACTGAGGAGATGGATCAGGTATCTGACTCTGAGCCCAATGATGGTGATGAGGGGCATCATGAACCTGAGGAATCCCACAGCATCAAGATCCGCAGAATCAGATCTGGCACCCCCCTCCTGGACCCAAAGAACCATGTGCCTCCTACACTACCCTCCAGCTCACTGGCACAGAGAGTTCATTGGGGGAGACGATGGTATGAAGGATAATCAGCCATCTTCTGGCATGACCCTTTAACAGCTCAGTTGGTAGCCCTCATGTCTTATCAGTGGGTGAGTTAACCTATCACTGCCTGCTCTCTTCATAGCTAAATGAGAATGACAGAGAATGCCAGGTCACATGGGAGCATTTGCCACCATCTTTTTTGTGGCACAGCACAACATGGGACTTGGCCCAGAGTCACGTTCTTAACCAGTCCTTTTTTCCGGAGGAATCTGTTTAATTCTCCTTTGCTCTCTGGGAAAGAATGGCGCAGAGTAGTTGACCGCCTACTAAAATAATTTTTTCCATTCCTGCATGACCAAACTCATTACAGAGAGTGGGGGAATATAAACCCGTTTGGTTTATATGGAGTTACGCTTCCATCTTCTCTGCATTTGCCTCTGTATCTCACTCAATTCAAGCATACGAAACCAATGATCAAACTCCCAGCCCCAGAACTGCAGAATACTTAGCAAAGAAAAGTACCTGGGCTTGGGCACTCGTTCATCAGGAACTGGTGTCCATATTGAATCTGGAGACTTCTGTTCTTTGAATCTCCCAGTAAATACATTGGCAATGTCAAGAATATCGTAAGCGCAGACAGCAGAGCCAGGGATGCTGCAATGTGACATTTCCAGAAATAGTTACTCATTCTGAAGTTATGCATTCTTTTTTTTTTTTCCATCTCAGAAACATGCTGCATAGAAGCCTTCCTGTCAAAGGCCATTCCGTTCTGAACCTTCCAACCTCTGGGTACTGACAATAAAAAATTGCCCCCATGCAGACATTTGAGATGCTCCACTGGGCAGCCTGCTCCTGTCAGTACAGCTTGCCTCCAAAAATTTTTTTAATAAAACAGCATATTACATTAATTTCGAATTCCCTGAAAGATTAAACGACACAGTTCTGACAACTTGTGGTACCAAGAAATTACTGGGTTATCAAAATCACAGCACATTTTCTGGATGCAAACTGTGTACATTTGTAACATGTTTTTGATGTCAAATCTTCCAGGCCCTGCAAAATCTTTAGCTGTGTCCTAGAAACCATTCAGATGCCCAGAGTGGATACATTTTGCATACTCATGCACACTGCTCAACCCAAAAGTTCAGCAAAAATACCTACCCATCCGTTGCGGTTCTGAAAAATCATTCGATTTTCCTGTATGTTTCTGGCTGAGTTCCTATGAGCAGGAATTTGCTTAACTCGGTCAACTATAAAGAGTTTGCAGAAGGAAATGCAGCTTTGCCTTACACCCACTAAAGTTTAAATTTGAATTTCCAGACTATTTACATGTAACCTAATAGTAGCAATCACTAAATATAATTACAGTCTTACACAAACACTTTTGGAAGGGCTCGGATGTTTCCCTTAGTCAATGACTTTCAGGTATGATTTATTCATTGGTCTGCCTTTGTTGTTTACACATGATCTACCGTAGTACATTTGTGTCTGACTTAAGCGATATGATTTCTGATCAGATAGCAAAGCACCATCTGGCTGAGTCATAATCCCAATTTAAGGTGGTGAGTTATTATCCTACATCCAACCATCGGAATTTGGCTTTTGGATGTGAAGCGATATAAAAGACGCTGCTACATGAGAAAGCTAAAACGGAATGCTAAGTAGATGGTTTGATTATCCAAAAATGGAAATATGTGGAATGAAAATTAGTGAAAGATGAAGGTGGCATTTTCTTATCTCAGGGTTGCTTGTATACATTCAGTCAAGTTTTGGGTTGCCGTATAAACTCATCGGCTAAGAAATAACTCATGATGGTGCTTTCCATCATTTGTGGAGCTGTATTAGAAAGACTTAATTACAACCCTACCCTATCATAGGGTGCTGCGTAAACTCAGACATAAAACTTATTAGCGGAACAGTGGCTTTATCTCAGTGAGAGAGTTAGTGACAGACCCACAACTGGCAAAACTGCAGTGCTTATAAATGTGCCTGCGTCGTGCCAGGTATATGCATAGCCGGATAGCTCAGTTGGTGAGAGCGTGGTGCTGATAATGCCAAGGTTGCAGGTTTGATCCCTGTATGGGACAGCTGCATATTCCTGCATTGTAGTGAGTTGGACTAGATGATTCTCAGGGTCCCTTCCAACTCTGCAATTCTATGATCAGAGAGCAAAAACAGTGTCACTCACTACAATGTGGTCCACATCCACAATGCAGCATGCCAGCGGCCTAAGACTGCTTCACGTATTACTAAGAAGCAGGTTCATGCAGAACCTGCTTCCGGCTTGTGTTTATAGAACAGCTGTTAATAATTAGGCAGCTTGGTCCAACTTCAGGAAAAGTGTCCGTACTGCTAAAGGACCAAAATTGATGTGGTCTGTTCCTGATTGCCAGTTAGATGAAGCTGCTTTAACTGAGGCAACCTAAGCAAATGTTGCAGCCAGAGAACATAGTATGGCCTCCTCTGGACAGGGTTGGACTCTCCTTGAAGCAGCAGGTGTGCAGTCTCTCCTGGATTCAATGACATTGTGGCCTTGGTGGCTAGGAGTACCTACTTCCAGCTACATCTAGTGTGCAAACCACAAAACCTCCTGGATCGAGACAACTTGGCCATGGTACTCCATGCTCTGGGAACCTCCACACTGGACTGCTGCAATGTGTTCTGTGTGGGGCTGCCCTTCAAAATGGTCTGGATGGTGCAGAATG